ATGAGGTAGATGAGGTCTCAATTACATGTCTAGATTTGATTTTACATGCTGCCAACCATCCCCGGGTAGTTCTATCTATGGCTGCCGGATATGGAGTATAATAAACTTGTTGTGCTTGACTAGCAAGGCAAAATGGCTCCCCCGTTGAAAGTTTAAACCTTGGATTGACATCAACAATTCCGTGTTCAACATTAACACGTATTCCTTGGTTCGTGTCATACCAATCACAATTAAACAATATTATAGTCTCTTGATGGCTTGAGTGTCCATAATACAATAACTCGATCACCTCTTTTAAGACACCATAATAATCAGTTTCATCTGCAGAATTAATGGTGGTTCCTTTAACACAAATACCACAGTTATATGTCTTTCTAGTACTAGTAAACTCTTCAGTCAAAAATTTAAAGCTGTTCACAAAGAACCCATTATAAACATTCACTTCAAAGATCGGGCCAACTGCAAAGTGGATAAGTCGTTCATTGATTTCATATTGTCCACTAAACACCTATATTTGAAAAAAAATTAATTTAGTAATATTTAATATTTAATTAAAATTTTGAAAAAATAATATATAACAATTAATTACCATATTTTTAAACCATTAAACAAAATTATTTGTTCTCAATCTTTGTAGTTGTTCATGTGACAAATTTGCACCAACTTCTTCCTCATATTTACTGTAAAATAACATTTATTTATTAATTAAAACGTTATGAAAATCATATAGGCTATTAAACATTGCGTAGTTCTTATTTTCCTAAGAAGTAAAACTTACGTTACCCAAACATCAACCTCCTTGCAATTTAGCAAGACATATAGTTCAGCTGCATCTTTCTCCTCCAATGTTAAACATCGTGTACGTGAGTGGGCCCCTATTGGTTCACCAAGGGGACAAAATACGGATAACTTACCTGGAACGTTGGTTCCAATGCCACCATAGTTCCTTGGAGGCTGATTCCAGCTTGTCTCAACATCATCCCCAAAATAACGAGAGCAAAAGTGGGATATCTTGTATAATATAAATGCCTCAACAATTGATGCCTCGACATGATTTTTATTCCC